ATTGTACATGCTGCTTTTAGCCCTTTCAATAGCCGATTGATTATCACAGTGTATGCTTATGGCAGGTACCAGCTTTGTCCAAAGCAATAAACTCTGATTCCATAGTTGATCGAGCTATACACATTTGCTTTGAAGATTTCCATGAGATAGCAGTTCCACCAAGTGTAAACACATAGCCACTTGTGGATTTAGAATCCTTCATATCGGATATCCAATTCGCGTTACAATATCCTTCAAATACCACAGGATATTTTGTGAAATGTAATCATAGGTCATGGTATACTTCAAGTATCTAAGGACCCTTATCAATGCCACCCAATGATCATGGCTTGGATTACTTGTGAATCTACTAAGGTTATTCATCGTAAACGCAACGTCCAGTCGAGTGCAATTTGTAACATACATTAGACTGCCAATTATTTGTGAATATCTTAGTTGTGACACGCATTCTCCCTTATTTTTGACCAAGTGTAGATTTGTGTCAATAGGAGTCTTTGCTGGACTTTTCTCAAATACTTCAAATTTCTTAAGTATTTTCTCAAGGTAATGAGATTGGGAAAGTACGATTCCTTCTGATGTTCTAGAGATCTTTATCCTTAGTATTACATCTGCCACACCCATGTCTTTTATGTCAAAGTGCCTTGTTAGCATTTTCTTGGTGTTTGTCAACATTTCGTGACTATTACCCATTATCAACATATCGTCTACATATAGACATATTATCACATAGGCATTCGGTGTATTCTTCAAATATACACACTAGTCACATTCATTTATTTTAAATCCATTTGACAGCATTGTTTTGTCAAACTTTTGGTACCATTGCTTAGGAGCTTGTTTTAAGCCATATAAGGACTTAACAAGTTTACATACTTTATGGCTTTCGTTTGGAGATACGAGCCCTTTAGGTTGTTTCATATATATCGCCTCTTCTAACTCACCATTTAGGAATGCCGTTTTTACATCCATTTGATGAATCTCAAGGTTATGTATTGCCACAATTGCAATTAGCAACCTTATCGAGGTGATTCTCGTTACGGGTGAGTAGATATCAAAGAAGTCAAATCCTTCTTTTTGCCTATATCTTTTGACAACCAATCTAGCCTTATATTGTTCAATGGATCCATCCGATTTCAATTTCTTTTTGAATATCCATTTACACTCTAAAAGCTTATTTTCGGGAGGTAAATCTACCAATTCCCAAGTATGTTTTGCATTATGGAATCTATCTCGCTATTGATAGCTTCCTTCCAATACGGTGCTTCCAGATTAGACATCGCTTCATCGTAAGTCCTTGGATCATTTTCTACCATATAAGTTAGAAAATCCTGATCAATTGATGTGGATGTTCTAACCCTTTTACTGCGCCTTGGTTCTTCATCATTTGAAGATCCATTTGCAGATTCATAAGTTCTCTTATTTGAACTTGACGTTTCCCTATCTTTGTAAGGAAATATGTTTTCAAAGAATACTGCATTCCTTGATTCAATTATGGTACCCTCGTGTACATCTTGAATATCAAATTTTTGTACTAAAAAATGATATGCACTACTATTATTGGCATATCCAATAAATATGCAATCGATCGTTTTGGAATTAATTTTAATTTGTTTAAGCTTGGGTACTTCAACCTTTTCCAAACACCCCCATACTTTTAAATGTTGGTAGGAAGGAGAATGACATTTCCATAACTCATATGGTGTCTCTTCCATTTTTTTAAGCGGTATCCGATTGAGAAGACTATTTTTCGTTAAGATAGCCTCCACCCACAAGTTATGAGGTAAACCCAAACTTATTAACATCGCATTCATCATCTTTTTAAGAGTTTGATTTTTACCTTCGGCAATTCCATTCGATTGAGGAGAGTATGGAGCCATTATTTGATGAATAATTCCATGTTCGGAACAGAATTCTTCAAATGGTGCCCCATATTCACCTCGTCGATCACTACGAATATTTTTAATTCATTTGTCAAGTTACGTTTCAACTTTAGCCTTATATTGTTTAAATACATTTAAGGTTTCGTCTTTGCTTCTTAAAAGAAAGACATAACAATACTTTGTACAATCATCGATAAAAGGTACAAAGTATTTCTTATCGCCTCTAGGTTGAACGAATTTCAAATCACATAAATCACTATGGATTAATTCTAGAGGTACCGTGTTCCTTTGAATTGAATGAAACGGTGTTTTAGCCAATTTTGTTTCAACACATATTTCACATTTGTGATTAGAATCAATTTCAAGCGCCGGAATTAAACTTTGATTCATAAATTTGTGCAATGAATTATAATTCACATGTCCTAATCGATTATGCCATAAACAAGACTCAAGCAAGTAAACAGAATTGTTACTTTATTCATAATGCCTTGTTTCGGTACAACAGTTAGAACGTTCATCTCAAGCAAGTAAACAGAATTTGTTACTTTATTCATAATGCCTTGTTTCGGTACAATAGTTAGAACGTTCATCTTGAACATTCCGTCACACATGTATTCTTTTCCTACATACATCTCATTCTTAGACAGTACAAATTTATCGAATACAAATACAAGTCTGAAACCATTTTTACTAAAAAGAGATCCAGACACAAGATTTTTTCGAATATCTGGCACATGTAGGACGTTGTTGAAGACTAGCTCTTTTCCAGATGTCATCTTTAAAGTGACTTTGCCTTATCCTTCAATCTTGGAACTTGCAGTGTACCCCATGAATAGTTGTTCCCTTTTCAGTTCTTGATAATTGGAAAACATTGCCCTATCAGTACACACATGACGGGTTACACCGATATCTATCCATCATTCCCTTGTGTTTCCAGCCATGTTGCATTCGGACACAACTGCAAATAGACTCATCTCCTGCATTCCTTCGGAAAGGTTGTCCTTCTCGATCATGATGGCTTGAGCAGGTTTCCTAGGCTTTCAACATTCATTTGAACGTTGTCCAGCCTTTCCACAATTATAGCATTTCCCTTTGGATTTTTTTGCTTTCTTGGAGTTATCTCTAAGCGGTGCATCGTTTGAGATCTTTCATTTCTTGTTCAAAAGCCTTTGTTCTGTTTCAACAAAGTTTGCTCCAAGTTGGTCAATAGGTTTCCTTTCATTTTTCCTATTGTCTTCTTCAATTCTCAAGCGGACAATCAATTCTGCCAAATTCATCTATTTATGTTTGTGTTTGAGATAGTTCTTGAAATCTCTCCACATAGGAGGGAGTTTCTCGATGATGGCAACCACTTGAAAGGATTCACTTAGTTCCATCTTTTCGGCAAGTATGTTGTGCAAGAGTACTTGAATTTCTTGCACTTGGCTTATCACAGTTTTGGTATCTACCATTTTGTAGTCTAAAAACTTGCCCACAATGAACTTCTTGGTTCTGGCATCCTCAGTCTTGTATTTATTTTTCAAAGAATCCCACAATTCCTTGGCCGAGTTTTTAGAACTATACACCTCATATAGTGTATTGTCCAACACATTCAAAATGTAGTTTTTGTATAGAAAGTCCGAGTGCTTCCATGCATCCAACGCAATAATCAACTCTCGATTATTTTCTCCCTCTTGTACGGATGGCGCGGTCTCTTTTAAGAACTTTACCAAATTGAGGGTATTGAGATAGAATAACATCTTTTGTTGCCATCTCTTAAAATTCACGCCACTAAATTTTTTCGATTTTTCACCATGCAGGATTGAAGTGTTTATAGCCATAGGCGTAACCATGTTTGTACCGTTTTGACTTGAAGTCTCTACAGTATTCATTTTTGTTACAAAAACAGAAGATTATTATAACGCAAAGTAAGGGAAAGAAACAGTGCACAAAGACTATTCCAAAATGAAGAACAAAATATGGGTTACACCAAAACAAAACTAAAACAACTACCGACAAATATTGTCTTAAGATTGTTGGTTCTGGGGTTTATGTGAGCGGTATGATGGTTGTTGATGCTTGTATCAAAATAAATTAATGTTTAACCCGCAGGAACATGATCAAATTATCGATATGTAAACTTGAAAGTATAGTACAAAACCACATCAAGGTATCAAAATGAAACAAGAAAAGGAGAAGAAAAAGAAATGAAATAAAATTCGAGGCAAGTGATGGCACTTTCTTTGTAAGACAATATTGCCTCGCTATGGTGCTCATGGTTAACGGCACTTGTCTCCCAAGATACAATGGATGTTTAATCTTGTGGTAGCAGCACTTCACACTACAAGAACCGGCGAACCGACGGAATTTTCCCCTCTACAAAAGGATTTTATGCAAGAAAAAGGAAGAGAGATTTTGTAAGAGAAGAAGAGTGCTCAATGCAAAATATGAGTTGGTGTACCCTTAGGACGTCCAAGGGGTCCTATTTATAGAGGAGGAAGGGGTGTGGATGAAGTGGTGTGGGTCAAATCATGCAATCTTTCGAATAGTTGCAACATTTCATCTTCGCTAGCTTCTCGCTCGAGCAGCGCTTCAAAAATCCGAGCAGAACATACTTCGCTTGCTTTTCGCTTGAATTTCACTCGAGCGAACATCGAGAATCAATGTATTTTAGCCCTTTTCCATCGTATTTTCCTCCAATCTTTGGATCACAATTTCTCATTCACCTGGAATTGGTTTCTAATGTCCAAATATACTATGATCATCTACTCGATGAGTAGATCAAGTTGGCCTTTTACTTTTGTAATTTGACCATTGGATCATGTCCGAATATTCGGCCGAAATTGACACGTTAGTCACACTTTCCAATTTCAATTTTTACTTAACCAATTTCCAACACTTAATTGATCGTTTGACACACTTTTGCCTTGTTATTTGATATTATATAAATATTGTAAATATAACATTTTCTTTGCCGTTTATTTATTGAATTTTAAATCAATAAATATAATTTTACAAAAATCTTATGAATGGGGGAAAAATGTTTAAATGCATCCTATGATGTGAATGAAAATATGAGGTACGCCCCTTCCTTAACCACCCATTCTACCAACCCCAAGTTCAAGATGAGGCAGTTGAAAAATGGGGGTTGCATCCTACGGGTTGGTACAACTTACCCGAATTTTTGTTTTATGGTTACACTCTCTTGCATGAGCTTCGCAAGACTTATTAAACCACCTATACATACACAGTTATATATCTACATTTATAGAGTGAGATATTCACTCCGTCATTAATCTTGCATTCTTTTACCTACTTCGTCTTTATTGAATGGAGGCGCCGCTGCTCGACCGGAACGACTCTGGCGATCTCCAATTGATTGGAGACGACGGAGACTACCGACCGGTTAAAGGGCTGAAGGCATGGTGGAAGATTTTCCGTATAGAGTCACTCAATCTGTGGAGAATTGGAGGTCCCATAGCCTTTCAAATTCTTTGCCAATTTGGAACCAATTCTGTTACCTCCATGTTTGTTGGCCATCTTGGAGATATTGAGCTTTCTGCTTTTTCTATTGCTACCTCAGTCATTTCCACCTTCTCTTTCGGATTCATGGTTAGTATTTAATTATTGTTTGGCAGGTTATGAGTTATACAAAGAATATTATTTTCCAATGATTAAGTCACAAAGTTATGAACTTTTTGATGGCGGTGGCCGAAAGTGTATATTGGTACTTGAGAGGGTAGATTGTTAAGAGACCAAGAAATTATTGGATTTTTTCCCCTTTTTCTGTAGATGATTTGGAGGCTTGATTTGTTTTAATTTTGGTAATATATAGTGTGCTTAATTTTATTTTTTTGAATTTTTGCTTTGAAATCTAAGAATTGTGCATTGATTTATGAATTATGTTTCTTGTACACTTATGGTTGACACCATCTTTGACATTCCGCCTATGTATCGAAAATCTAGCCGTTGATTGGGAAAAATGTAGTTAAAATCAAGGATAAAGATATTTGTACAAAATCTTTTTAACAAAATGGTGTACTCATTCTCACAAAATTAACGGACCCCACGTGAATTTAAAAAATATCGGCTTGTGATTTCCACCCCTATTGTGAGTAATAAGTAAGGGAGTTTGTAAAAAAAGTTTGTACATGTGGTATCATCTTAAAATCAATGTATAAAAATATGTCAAATAATGTCAAACTTGATGTACAATATGATTTATATATATATCATGATTGTTATAGATTTAGTTGACGTTTGACATAAATTTTGTGTAAAGTGAATTTTTTAGGAGAATGTCTAGTTAAAAAGTAAGAAAAAATCATTATTTAGTGAAAGATCGAAGTTGAAAATGAATTTGGGAAAAAATGATTTTAAAGTATCCGTATCAAACGTTGTGTGTACAAATGGGGATATTATGGTCCAACGCTCTAGCTGTGAAAATAATTAAATAACCTCATGTGCTTCTGTCATCCTTCATGTTATGTGGGTCATCACAAGGCTGTCATGGAATTAATTTCTTGTACATAAGGTACTTTACGGGACACTGTGAACATGTTTGATCGAGTTTTTTTTGAGTGGATTCTTGTAAAACAATATTTTGAAATGTCACTTCTTCGATGATTATGGAGTCATACTGCCAAAATAAGAGACATGTTTTACAACCTTTTGTTGAAGAAGTTATCAAAAATCCACATCCAATCACGAGCTATGAATCTTTGAGCATGTTTAGCTTAGTTTAAACAAAACATTAAGTTACTTCTCAGTAATTTTTAATTAGGGATAACTTACTCCTTTTAAAAAATAACTCTTATCTTATTGTGAAAATAAGTAATTTATTTTTAAATTTCACCAATAATAAAAGGTTAAAAACTATATAATTAAAGACTTGTTTACTTGTAACTTTTTAAGCTTAATCAACATGATTAGGGCTCCAAAATCTGCTTCTAGTCCCCCGATAAGAGCTGTAAATGTGGTTTGAGCTTGAAAATACAAAAATGAGAATTATTTAATTCTTTGTGCTTTCCTCCAGTCATTGACCAAATTTAGTTTTGTCCTCAAAGCCATGTCAATTTTCTTATATATAGGCTTGAATGCCCAAGCCTTTGTTTGCTATACTGACGCTCCAATTGATCGCGTTTAAGATATTATGACACGTTTGGTACACAAATTATGGACAAGAATTCTGGATAGTGTTTTCTTTTCAAGCGTGTACCAAACATGTCATTGAGATATATGCTGCATATATTGATCAAATAGACGGAGTCTGATATTAGTTTGCAACGTGTAGCTTGGCATGGGAAGTGCCCTTGAGACACTATGTGGGCAGGCATTTGGTGCAGGACAAGTTCATATGCTTGGTGTTTACATGCAACGCTCAATGATAATCCTGTTTGCCACTTGCTGCATCCTTTTGCCACTCTACATATTTGCAACCCCAATCCTCAAGGTCCTCGGACAAAGTGATGAAATTGCGAATCTGTCTGGAGTATACACACTGATGATCGTTCCTCAGCTGTTCTCGCTTTCTGTCACATTTCCGACTCAGAAGTTTCTTCAAGCTCAGAGCAAAGTTTCTGTGCTTGCATGGATCGCTTTCCTTGCAATAGTCTTGCAGGTTTTCATCTGTTGGCTTTTTGTTTATGTATTTGGATGGGGAGCGTCGGGTGCAGCCACAGCGTATGATCTTACGAGTTGGGGCACTGCGATTGCGCAGTTTGTCTATGTCATTGGTTGGTGCAAGGATGGTTGGAAGGGATTTTCAGGGTCCGCCTTTAAGGAGATATGGGCATTCGTTAGGCTCTCTCTTGCTTCTGCTGTTATGCTTTGCCTCGAGATCTGGTATATGATGAGCATTATTATCCTCACCGGACATCTTGACAACGCGGTAACTGCAGTTGGTGCCCTTTCAATTTGGTGAGTGTTAATGCCTTGTGTTTTAACTCTCGTCCAAATATTTAAGTTGTTAGAATTCACTTTTTCTTTTTTTCCTTATATAAATTTGGTTTTCAGCATTTTGAATGCTATTATATTTAGCATTCTGATTGTTCATCAACCTTGATGCATTGCATGTCCGAGGAAGCACACGTCTAGTTGTCAGCTTTCTAAAGTGATCAAAACACCATGAATCGTTAAATGAAGAAGAATGCTAAACGAACAGATCAGACTAAATATGCAAACTTGAGCTTGTCATGAGCAACAATCATTTTTTGATCTCTATGTTATGAACATGAGTTTTCTAGTTGTCTTAAAAATTTTCACAAATTTTTGATGGTTTATCTTTCAGCATGAACGTCAATGGGTGGGAAGCCATGATTTTCATTGGAATCAATGCTGCTATAAGGTAAAAGGACTCACATCTTATAGATAATTTATATTTTTTTCCTCTGTCCAAGTATGTTGAATTTTGAGATAACAGATAGAGACGTGAATGGTGAAAATAACGTACAAAACAAGAAGAACTAAGCCTCATTCCCTATAAACTTGAGATTTGACAGCTGGAGACAATATGTTTATATTCTTGAGTCCTGTTTATCTTGTTTCGTTTCCTCTGATGTTGTAGGGAACTCCAAATTTGAGGTGACTCCAAAATTTTAAATTGTAGCCATGGTGAGCTTGACGGGCCTGTTCACACACTATTAAGTTGGCAGCTGATCCCAAAAGAGAGAGATTCCCTGCAACCGTGCTCACCCAAGCTAAGACAAGCCATGCTTTCTTCTCACTGGCAGGCGATATTACTGCAGCAGAAGCTGCCACTCGTGCTCCAAGCAGTAGAACTGAAAGTGAAAGCAACTCACAGTTATATTCACTTGATTATACAAGTAGTGTCAATTAGGTCAAACCGGGGTTAGAAAGGCCAGTACAGACCAGCACGGACCACTACATTTCTCCGTGGCCATATCTGCAATCCCAACGAGTCGAGCCTTATGATTGTTTTGAATTTATTTATATATTTATTTGACCTGTGGGGAACCTGCTAGCCACAATGCAAAGCCTGGCCTCACTTTTACACCACTATATACAGGGTACATATATTGCTTCTGCAAGTTTCCAAGTAGCATATTTCATTAAGATTGAAGAAATGAATGCCGTGACATGAAGTATTTAGTATTTTTAATTGTGGCTTTTGTAATGTACAAACAGATTCGATTGGAGTAGTATGTGATTATGAGAAATATTTTGGGATCAACTTCCGATTTGAATTCCCTTGTGCAACTAAAGCGCGCCCCTTTCTACTATGAATTCCTTATGGACTCGCTTCATTTACGTCACAGGGAGCAAATGTTGGGAGATAGCCTTATGCTTTGAAGTGTTAATCTTTCCAATTTCCTACTTTGTAACGTATGTCCAATCTAATCAATTGTTCTTAGCCTACGGAAGGGGTGCATGGCATTGCCTGCCTTGCGTGGTTTCTAATCCTAGGGAAGGCTACGCCATCATTAAAACTGGGGAAAGTAAGCTTTTAATTACAGCTTCCAAATATGAAAATCTTTTACATTAATTTACCTCGAGTAGCAACGGGCTAACATATTTTCCCACGCTTGGTCCAATGTCACTTGAATCATTTAAACATGTAATCTATCCTAGAAGATTTTCATGTTTGAGTGTTCGACAAAAAATTGAATCCGCTGTCTCCTTTTCTTCTCATTCGGTCAAGTGACGACAAATTATTATCTCATATTCAAAGTCAGGTACATTCGACATACCTGTAGGTACATTTGATGCCAAATTTGAGAGCACAATTATGACAGCAGCTAAAACTGCCATTCCCCTGATATGATCTATTTTTGCATAAGGCTCCATGAAATCCCACAGGTTGCTTGGAATTCCGGTTTTGTTGAAGCCATCGACTGTAATAAACATTCCGCAAAAGAATATCAAGAGCAAATAGGATACCTGGATGATTTAGGCAAAAAAAACGAAGAAGAAGCATTAATAGCCTTGTCAGAATATGATGCCTAATCTCATTAATATACTGCCAATGCAAGTTTGGCATGAATTATTAAGATTGTACAGGACAATTTTTATTTTTTTAATATATTCACAATTAAATTCTTTCTGTTGATTTAACTGAAAGTCGTAAAGATAATTTGTTACCTATCGTTTTTCTTAAGACCCGTCTAGTTGTTAATGCTTATAGTTAAATTTCCTTTATATGCTTTAATATTACTCAAAGTCAAATTATTTTAATTTTCATATGCTTATAATTTTACTATTGTAGGGACTTTGGGGTGGCATGATAGCCGGAACAGCTTTGCAGACATTGCTACTCTTGTTAGTTCTTTACAAAACTAACTGGAACAAGGAGGTTGTTCTTTATCCTTAACCATCTAGCCATTACTATATGTTTAACATGGAGTACTACACGGGACTGGATAATTTTGAAAAAAGAAAAAAAGTCTAAATCTTATTCATTATATTGTCCAGTCTTTTGAGACTAAATATGTACACGACGTTAAGGCCTTGTGTCATGGCTTTATCTGCTTTCGAGAGATCAATGCTGCAATGCAGCAAAATATATATATCATTGCTCTGCTTCCCCTTGAACTTCATTAGTCTGCATTTCTTGATTTCATTATTGATTGTGAAAATTATCTTTACAAGAGTTATTATCATGTTGGAATCATATCGTGAAACTATAACGCCATCATTAAAACTGGGGAAAGTAAGCTTTTAATTACAGCTTCCAAATATGAAAATCTTTTACATTAACTTACCTCGAGTAGCAACGGGCTAACATATTTTCCCACTTGGCAATACGCTTGGTCCAATGTCACTTGAATCATTTAAACATGTAATCTATCCTAGAAGATTTTCATGTTTGAGTGTTCGACATAAAATTGAATCGGCTGTCTCCTTTTCTTCTCATTCGGTCAAGTGACGACAAATTATTATCTCATATTCAAAGTCAGGTACATTCGACATACCTGTAGGTACATTTGATGCCAAATTTGAGAGCACAATTATGACAGCAGCTAAAACTGCCATTCCCCTGATATGATCTACCAACTTTCACTTCAAAATGGAAGATAGTAAATGTGCGATTGCTATTCAGTATTAGATCACAACGAAGAGTATTATGAACATCATCTAGTGTCATCTAATCTACTCAAACGTGCAATGGAAGGAAGGGGACTAGATATTCAGCTTATTTTCACTGTACTAATTCAGCTTTTCCCTGCTTTGTCTTCTTTAAGGTTTAATCTGCTGAATGTAGTTTATTGTTCGATTGGGAAATTTTGAGCTTTACTAATGCAACCCCTAAGGAACAAAAAAACTTAAATTTGAGCTCTCTTCTTTATTGAAGTAATGCTATGGAATCATGATCATGTAGAATTATATTTATAGTCTGAAATTCTGGAACTTATTTTTGGAATTTTACTCGTGTGTTTTAACTACTATATATATATGGCCCCGTTTGTTTTTTATTAATGTAAGAACGAGAATGAAAAATATAGCCGTTACGGACGCCATACAAGAAATAAAAATTCAAAAATGGTAGCTTGATATGATAGATAACGGTCATATTTTTCATTTTAATGGCTAGATAATGGGAAACAAAAAAAGGCTATATATAAAATTGCTTCATTTCAACATATTTCAATGTGAGGAAATACAGTAAGATATATAGAACTAATTCTGTTTTTATGTTATAGATAGATGCATGTATTTCAAGAAATGTAAATCATGTATATGCTATGTACACTACAGATTAAATCCACGTTTATAGCACTGATTCATCTTCGTGTTGATTTAATCGTTTGTAGTGCATCCTATAGCTGTGGAATTCAAGTTTGGTTCATTAAGGTTCTCTTAATGCCAATCGATATTGGTCCAATTTGGATTTGATTCCCACAATAGATGAAGAACGAACTAATTCCACTTAAAAAGTTAAATCCAATTCAGCCCATGCCCAAATCGATCACCAGCTCAAACTCGTTGTTGAATCATAATCTAAAGAAGATAACATGTAGTTTCTCAGTTTTAAATGATTTTGCGAAAAATCTAAATTATTCTTGTTCATCAGAATCCTTGTATCAGCATAATTGAATTTACTAGAGAACCTCAGATTGATCACAAGGTGTCATGCTCTTATCAAAGTCAAACCAATAGCTGTTACAATAATAGTAGAGGGAACTCCAAATTTGAGGTGACTCCAAAATTTTAAATTGTAGCCATGGTGAGCTTGACGGGCCTGTTCACACACTATTAAGTTGGCAGCTGATCCCAAAAGAGAGAGATTCCCTGCAACCGTGCTCACCCAAGCTAAGACAAGCCATGCTTTCTTCTCACTGGCAGGCGATATTACTGCAGCAGAAGCTGCCACTCGTGCTCCAAGCAGTAGAACTGAAAGTGAAAGCAACTCACAGTTATATTCACTTGATTATACAAGTAGTGTCAATTAGGTCAAACCGGGGTTAGAAAGGCCAGTACAGACCAGCACGGACCACTACATTTCTCCGTGGCCATATCTGCAATCCCAACGAGTCGAGCCTTATGATTGTTTTGAATTTATATATATATTTATTTGACCTGTGGGGAACCTGCTAGCCACAATGCAAAGCCTGGCCTCACTTTTACACCACTATATACAGGGTACATATATTGCTTCTGCAAGTTTCCAAGTAGCATATTTCATTAAGATTGAAGAAATGAATGCCGTGACATGAAGTATTTAGTATTTTTAATTGTGGCTTTTGTAATGTACAAACAGATTCGATTGGAGTAGTATGTGATTATGAGAAATATTTTGGGATCAACTTCCGATTTGAATTCCCTTGTGCAACTAAAGCGCGCCCCTTTCTACTATGAATTCCTTATGGACTCGCTTCATTTACGTCACAGGGAGCAAATGTTGGGAGATAGCCTTATGCTTTGAAGTGTTAATCTTTCCAATTTCCTACTTTGTAACGTATGTCCAATCTAATCAATTGTTCTTAGCCTACGGAAGGGGTGCATGGCATTGCCTGCCTTGCGTGGTTTCTAATCCTAGGGAAGGCTACGCCATCATTAAAACTGGGGAAAGTAAGCTTTTAATTACAGCTTCCAAATATGAAAATCTTTTACATTAATTTACCTCGAGTAGCAACGGGCTAACATATTTTCCCACGCTTGGTCCAATGTCACTTGAATCATTTAAACATGTAATCTATCCTAGAAGATTTTCATGTTTGAGTGTTCGACATAAAATTGAATCGGCTGTCTCCTTTTCTTCTCATTCGGTCAAGTGACGACAAATTATTATCTCATATTCAAAGTCAGGTACATTCGACATACCTGTAGGTACATTTGATGCCAAATTTGAGAGCACAATTATGACAGCAGCTAAAACTGCCATTCCCCTGATATGATCTATTTTTGCATAAGGCTCCATGAAATCCCACAGGTTGCTTGGAATTCCGGTTTTGTTGAAGCCATCGACTGTAATAAACATTCCGCAAAAGAATATCAAGAGCAAATAGGATACCTGGATGATTTAGGCAAAAAAAACGAAGAAGAAGCATTAATAGCCTTGTCAGAATATGATGCCTAATCTCATTAATATACTGCCAATGCAAGTTTGGCATGAATTATTAAGATTGTACAGGACAATTTTTATTTTTTTAATAGACGATATTTTATCTCCTTTTTTTTTTTTTTTTCCAAATATTGTCCAGTCCATCTTATCCACTTAACAAGAGAAATTATTAAATTGGTTTCACCTTTTCTAAACACGGTCCTGCATCTTTAAAATCAAGAAGAACTAGGGCAAGTGCAGCTGTAATTGCAGTCCAGGACATATTTAGACCGAGCAGCAAAGCAACTAGCATTCCTATGGTAACAAGATAAACACACGTCTTCAACAAAATTCTTTTCCACTTTTTTGGTGATGCAGAGTTTTGGTGTTCACTACCGTTCAAAGATGGAATACATTTTGAAGACATGGATCCATCATCTGCAGTTTCTTTCGAAGAATTTGAATGCCTAACGGATTCAGATTGCAAACTCGGAACCTTATGAATTTCACTTTCAGTGGGATTGCCACCATTCCCGAGTGTCTCAACCTGACTCGTATAACTATTTACATTTGGAGAGACATGAATATTATCACTCTCAATCAAAGTCCCTCGGTTTCTAATAGTCTCACTATGATTTGTAGGACCAATGGGATTTGAAGAGCTGTAAATATTTATAGATTCCAGTTCAGAATTCCATTCTTGAGAATTTGAAGATGTGAGGTGAGACAACTTTGCAGGAGAAAAACGATGTGAGGTTACGTCTTCTTCAGTGACGACTTCCATAGTGGCATCTTCTTCATCCTTATGAACAGATAACAACTTCCAATACATACAGAGCAGGATCAAAGCATTGACAATAACTCCTACAAACATTGCCGGGAAAATACCAAATAAAAAATTCCCAAAAGAAATCTTACTCTGAACAGCTATAACTAAGTTTTGAGGATTGCCGATAGGGGTTGCCGATGACCCGATATTTGCACTCGACGCAAGGGCTAATAGGAATGGGTGAGGAGGGAGATTCTGCTGCCGAGCAATTTTGAGCACGAATTCAGTCAAAACAACACAAGATGTGTCATTAGTAAAAAAGGCGCTGGAAATGGCAGAAATCAGGCAGATTCGACAAAGCAAGTCCTTTGCTCCCTTGCTTTTCCAGGAGAGCAATTTACCCAAGTACACAAACATATCCGCTCTTTCAAGATAGACACTGACTACCATTGTCCCAAAAAGAAGACCTAGGATTGGAAGGTCAATAGCCGCATATGCTTGATCTGGTGTTATGACTCGAAAAATGACCATAAGCATTGCCCCAAGGAGAGACCCAGCTGTCCTCCCAATGGGCATGAGTGGAACAGCTGGGAAAACTGCCAAAACCCAGAATATGGCAAAGGCAATTGAGCCGAGAACCACTTTTACAATAGGAGCCATAGCCATGTTTACACAACTAAATGAAATCCCAAACCTTTCACTTTTTTTGCAAGATTTCAGAACCTCAGCAGCAGATTCTGTGAAATAAAAAAAAAAATTATTTTATATCAGAACTTGTGAAAATTAAGCTTGCCTTTAGCACATACAATGAAATTATGCCCCAATCAACTGTTAAGGACTAAGCTACAATCCCTTCTTTCAAGGGCGAAAATAAACAGAGAGAAAATAAAAAACAAGCACACAAACATATTCTTACCATGTTACTCAGATGCTGCAAATTTTCCCAAGTACAAGGTATTTCTCACACCAAAAACCGGCACCCTAATATCCTTTCATACAGTAGGAATAATGGGAGGACCAACAGTCGAGGAACTATGGTGTAATTTAAGGGATTTGCCTTTTCTTGAGTGAGCCAACATAACAGAAAGTAATCTTTAGTGGTTCTACCTCCTGTTTTTTGTGAAGAGAATGAATCTCCAAGGATTTCTAACATCAACATCCCAGAAAAATTTTCTCTGTTTTAGTTCATTCTCTCGTCGAAAATTCTACCGTGTACACATTAGCCAGATCCATTGTGGAAACTACCAGTAATAACAAACTTGCAAAATCAAAAAGCAATTCCAAAGGCTGCATTGAGAAGATTCTTCTAGTGTTTTCTGCGCTGTTTTATGGATACTAAACTACTTTTAAATAATATTAATCAAACAAACATTCAAGACCCATACACCATTCTTCATTTTCAGACCTCAACAAAGCACAAACTATCACATCTGCAGAATTTTTTCTGTCAGAAATATCTGATAATATAAAAGGATAACCTTAAAAACACAAACTGCATATATTAATATAAGAGAAACAAAATTCAAGAATTGCAACCAGAAATTCAGTTTTGTGTTAAATACAACGCAGAAAATTTCATGAAATGGATAGCTCGCCTGAATCTGTGAAAAGGCACTTCAGCCTTATATATGATTCAAAAGGGCTCCTCTCTTTCTATCGGCAAAAGGCATTTCCCATTTTGTTTGCAATTCTGCTCACTGATTTGGTATTTCTGTCTTATCAGATTCAACATTTTTTGGGAGCTGCTATTTACATCTAATTATATATCTACAAGGTAATTATATTATATTTTTAAAGATAAAATTTGGATGGAAAGAAAACGAATTTCAGAAAATTTAGACCCTGTTCTCTTTACCTTTTTCGGGCCGTTTTCTGTTTTCGATTTTTCAAAATGGTGAAAACGTGTTCTCTTTCCCGTTTTCGAAAACGAATTTTCGAAAACGAAAAGGCTATAAAATTACAACTCCCAAGAATTCCAAAAATTTAATTTCCATGGAAAATAAAACACTATTAAACACACAAAAGTTGAAAATTGGCATTCTAATTTCATTTTCCCTAAAAAATTGGTGCCTATCAAACGGTGCCATAGATTTTATTTGGTATCTATTATTTTCAAAATATATTGTTTTCTCTCTTATTTTCAACCATACATTCTATAATAAAATATTATTACACCCAAATTCAAATATTTTTCTTATTTTTTAAATATACATTTTCCATCAAATATTATTCCAAAATGCATTATTTCCAAGAAAAACTAAATAAATAAATGAAGCTCGAACATGCTCTTAAATAGACATATATAAAATTAAATAAAAATGTATGGTTTTAAATTCTTTTGAGCATTTTTATATACTTTTTAGAATTTGTGTTTAACTAAAATCCTAATAATTATAAAAATTATTTTCAATTAAAATCAAAACAACAATGGAAAAAAATACAGTCATAGTAATACATAAGAAATTTTGAAAAAGTAAGAACTGCGTTTTATGGTGAATTTGATGAATTTAGTATGTGAAGGATTCTTGATTTGTATTTGGCTTATTTCATGACAAGCATCTTTTAAATTCAAATTTCATCATTTTTAATTTATTCCTTTTTGTTACACTCGCATTGGGTTTTGGAGTTTGGGGATTTAGGGTAGCGTGGAGATATATTAAAGTGTATATATATATAGATTACATGATAGACAGATTATAAAATCAGAACATTGAAAGGAAAATTTTCTCAATAAAAATAATCCAATCTTTTTACAGTGAATAAATTATTCAAGAAAGATATGTAACTTAAAAGTTATAACAAAAAAGGGGAATTAAAGAAGAAGACCCGAGCAGAAAGAGTTAAAAGTCGAGCATTATTCAAGAAAGATTTTCCTTCCACACGATTGTATTATATTGCATAATCTGATCAACTATTTCTTGAGCTTCTAATACCCCATGCTTGATTCGGCTATTTAGGCCGTGGTTGGTTTGTCGTTTTCGACCCATTTTTCGTTTTCGAAAACGCGAAAATCGCATTTAGTCCGTCGTTTCGAAAACGCCTTTTCAAAAACGAGTTAAAATTTATAACTGAAAACGCAAAACGACTTTTTATCGTTTTTAGCGTTTTCAGTTATAAATATCAAAAATGTTCAAAACGCAAAAAAGGGGGCCATTTTCGGAAAAAAAAAAAAACTACAAATCGTTTTGAAAATGAAAATGCAAACCAATCACGACCTTAGCTTTGCTAAAAACTGGTTTAGATGTAATATTCTTCAGTGTACTGTGTGATTGATCCCAAAGTTCCTCTAGTCCTCCAAGAATGGCCTCGAGTCCCTTGCCACCGCCCGGTAACTTTTTATCCCCATCAAAGCTTTCGCCTGACTCTATTGATTTTCTTGTTTCCTACCCAGAATGTTTATCATCCGAAATGTTTATGAGTAACAGGGTTAAGTAATGTAGTTCATAATCTGAAATTGTCTACGATATGATAAAATCGCGTGATAATAAAAAATTATTAATAACAATTAATGAATGGAAGGTGAACTGAGCAAATAACTTTTTGCCTTCAGCGGATGAAAATAGATCTAGTAATTGGTCGGTTGAACTCCTTGTATTAGGGATATATTCAGGGTGAAATGAATATATAAATTTGTGTGGATCTATGGTGTTTAAATAAACGAATTTAATAAGAACAATATTATAATTTGATGTGGATGAAAGTAACGATTTTTTAAAATATTAATATTTTAATAGGATAGATATAGAGCGTAATTAATACGAGTTTCCGTGATTGAGTTTGCTTCCGTAACAAACTTTCCAAGATACGCCAGGCAAGGTAATCTATTTTAATATTTGTTGTAGACGGCATCTGCTGGGCAGAGACGATCAGAGGGAGTTGAAGAAAATAAATATTATTTTTTATTCATGATTGTTTAGTTCAATAATTTTTTCATTGTCTTATGTTTTTAACAAGTTTTATCGCCTTGTTTATTGCTCGTAGGTTATTAGCAATTACATTGGGTTCAATCTTTACAAAATAAAATAACATTTAGGTCTTCGACTCTTCAACCTTTAATTCATAGATTATTAGCAATTACATCGGGCTCAATTTTTACAAAATAAAATAACATTTAGGTCTTCAACTCTTCAACCTTTTTAACAAGTTTTATCGCCTTGTTTATTGCTCGTAGATTATTAGCAATTACATCGGACTCAATTTTTACAAAATAAAATAACATTTAGGTCTTCGACTCTTCAACCTTTTATTCATAGATTATTAGCAATTACATCGGGCTCGATCTTTACAAAATAAAATAACATTTAGGTCTTCGACTCTTCAACCGTTTTAACAAGTTTTATCGCCTTGTTTATTGCTCGTAGATTATTAGATTATTAGCAATTACATCGGGCTCAATCTTTACAAAATAAAATAACATTTAGGTCTTCGACTCTTCAACCTTTTATTCATAGATTATTAACAATTACATCGGGCTCGATCTTTACAAAATAAAATAACATTTAGGTCTTCGACTCTTCAACCTTTTTAACAAGTTTTATCGCCTTATTTATTGCTCGTAGATTATTAGCAATTACATCAGGCTCAATCTTTACAAAATAAAATAACATTTAGGTCTTCGACTCTTCAACCTTTTATTCATATTTTTGAGTCTCCAACTTTTCACCGTTGCAGCATATGGATTTCTAGCGAGTGGAAATTATTCGTTAACCATTAGAAAATCAAACTAAAACCTTATTTAAATGAAAAAATAGAAAGAAAAAGAAATAAGAGAACGAAAAGGGGAAAAAAATCAAAAGAAAATCCTCAACTATACCTTTTCTTCGTCTCTTTGCCTGTGTGTCTACAGGTAAATGATTAATTCTATTTAGTTTCATTGTAGTTATAACTTTAGATTATGTGACGTTAATGTGATGTTAAATGATAAGTATAATTAAATGGAAATGTCGTTTAACCTATTACCTAAAAATACATAGACTGTGATTATAAGTTCAATTGGGCTAAATAGCATTATTCCATGTGAGTACTTGTCCACGTCCCACTACCACTAACCTTATCCATCGCAACTTGTCATAGTCATCGTGCATAATTGAGTTGTCAATAGACCTTGTAGTTATATTTATTGCATCTATACAATATTGGAAAGATGGAGTCGATCTTTCGGGTTCACTATATATATCGTGCAACGAAGAGCTACTAAAAAAAAAAAGGTTAAACTCTAATCTTAAGGATCCCCCACCACGCCTGCCCTAAAGCATCATGAAGGAGGTAAATTGCAGGTTATGCCTCCAAGGGTACAGGGTGGAAGGCTGTTTGTACACTTGCACTTACCCAAGAGCCAAATCCATATTTCAGGATTCGAACCCTTGACGCAGCAGCCTCAAGTAAAGTTGGATTTCTCCACCCTCCCCTTTTACCACTTGGAGATGTGCTCTGGGAGCGCAACACAGAGCTACTAGCACACATGTAGAGTTGTACATGCAAGCACACAAAGAGCAAAGGGTTAGTGTCGAGGTTGGGATTTGGGTGGGAGTAGTGGTGGTGATGGTGGTAGCCGGTAACAAGGTGGTTGACAGTGGTTTTTTTTTTATTATTATTTCTTTTTCCTTCTCGCTGTTTGTTTTCTTGTTCTTTATAATTTATATTTTACGTAAATACAAGTTTTTTATTAAATATGAACCGTTCACGTCTTTAACGGTTGAAAATTTACCTCCAGTTTGATTTAAATAAAAATAAGGTATTTAGTAAATTTTGATAAAAATTAATGGCATATGCTGTTAAAAAATTTATGGGTTCTATGAAAAAAGTATGATTAAAATTAATTATTTTATCTAAATCAAACAAGGGCTTAGATGCTACAATTGAACGGCCAAGGACCTAAATGTTCACTTCGTCGCATAAATTAAGGACCTAGGTGCAAGTGTTCCCTAATTACTGTTTCCCAATACTTAGGGCCTGTTTGCGTGCCTTTAATTTCAAAGAATGATGTATGGAATAGTGATTGATGTTAAAATGTATAGTTAAAATAGAAAGAAAAGTTTTAAATTTATGTATAATATTATTTTAATAAAAAATGTGTGATTAAAAATAAATACTGTAAAAAAAATAATGTGATAGAATGATTTGACAAACAAAGCTTAAGGATGTCATTCCAGTAGTTTGTGTTGATTTTGATTTAGTCATGTAGTCATGTACTTTATAATAATAGATACCCACGATTGAGGTTGGACAAGCACCTCCACTATTTATTAGAAAATAACATAACAATAAAAGATTTTAAAAGGATTAAAAATCGAACCTTCGACTAATAGATCAGGGTTTTTTTATGCCACAAAATAATTGTAAGGCCAAAAATGAAGTACCCGATTTCAATTATTGGACTCCGAAAACAGTCATTGTTGACTATTTTTCAGCAATTAATCTATTATATTATGTAGCACTCCTTAGAAGTGAATGATGTAATAAAATTATAACTTTTCTTTTTGCTTTATTATTAATCGGAACTATCCTATCATAACAGGGTGAAACTAAAAAATCTTTTATGTTGAACTGATATGTTAAAAAAGTAACTCTCACTTATATTCGTTT